TTTGTGCTACTGAAAGGAAAACCTGTCATTTTTGCAATACATAAATTACATGGTAGTAACTGAGGACATGGGGGCTGAAATGCACAATTGCATTCTTTCCATGGTTATTATAATATACTCTACCCTGAGGATTTTGTGCAAATACTCTGTAGGGAATGAAAGGCTAGAGGTCGTGTGAGCGTATAATGTTCAGGGATGGTGCAAGAAATCAAATATTTCCTTAGAGAGTTCTTTTTAATTAATCAAATGAAATATGTTTGTAATATCTCCAGTGCTGAACACTTTCGATGTTTTATTCAAAAAGCCACAGAATGTCTCTAGGTTGCAGTAAAGGCACAATAACTTATGCAGAGGCTTAGGAGCATGGGATGGTAGAAAACAAGTATAATAGGCCATTTTTGTCCCTCACTGAAAACTGCATGCACAGCATAACATCCGTTCATTACTTCAGCTGTGGCTGTGCAAGACTGGAGCACGATTTAAGCAGAAAAAGTTCTCTTCCTCAGAAAAGAGGAAAGGAGAGATTTTGAGGTGAGGTGAGTCTCCATGGCGGGACCTACGCTACATACAATGAGGCATGGGCACAGCGCCTTAAGCAATGGCGTGAGATCACCCATACTATTTAATTGCTTGCACAGACTCTGGCATGGGTTTGGCTGCTGCCAGTGGGTATTCTGATGTGCTGGGGGCCGTTCCCTATGGGCAGTTTGGCTGTGGTTTCCCTGTTTTTGGTGCAGGGACACAAGCCGTACTGCATGAGGAGGCCTTGGGGCCAGAGGCGGCTCCTGGCTCGCTTGGTGTACGGGTATGGCGGTGGCTGCATGTGGCTCCGAGGTCAGGCAGGACCTACACCCATGTGATATGGCATCCCTTTGGGGGAGGCTCTTGCACGACCCTATACTATTCTGGTAACCTTTTAAGTGTGCGCTTTGTAAAAATTCACTATTTACCATCCTTGAGTGGTGAAGACTTCTCTTTGATCTGCTTGGTCCTGATAATTCCCTTTTAAACTGATAACAGGGATTGGAAATACAGCATCCTGGCACCTTCATTAATTTGTGCACGGTCTCCTCTTCAACAAGAGTTCTGGCAGTTGTGAGCCACGTTTCACCAGAGACTGGACATGTATTTTAAATCAGATTATATGTCTTGGTTTTCAACTTCGCTCCCCTGCGCTGTTGTTAAATGCTCTAGAGAGCATCTGCAGCCACGTCACCAAAGCTCTCTCCCATCAAAGCTCTCTCAGGTTTGGATTCCATTTACAAATGCACATATGTAGCTGAAACAATTGCTGCCGTTGCCAGGCCCACTTTGGCAATAGCAATAAATGGTTTATAGGCAGTTTCAGAGGACTGTTGCTACCCATAAATAAAGCCATTTGTGCAACAGTTTTGGTCATACTGTTCTAAGGCTGCTATGCCAAAATCCTTTTGGGAGATACCTGTGGCCAGCTTAAGTGTTTTGCTTACTGCCAAGAAACCCTCCTTCTGTGGTTTTAGCATGCAGCGGGGGAGCAATAGTAACCTTTTGTTACTGGGTAGCTTGAGAGCAAGGCTACTACATTTTCAATCATGTTAGCCTCTTAGCTGCCTCCATAAGCTCCTGTTTGGATTAGAAACCTCCCTTTACAGGCCAGCTTCTAATTGCTAACGTTTAGTTTTTCCAGCAGTCTCTTCCTGATCATTTTGGCCCAGATTCCAACCATGTCCTTTATCAGAACTCAGTCAGCCCTGCAAAGTTGCTAGTTGACTGTCTGCCTTAGATCATCCTCATATGCTAACAATTTCTCTTCCTTTCTGAACTCTCTGCTTATATATTTACTTCTTTGCTTTATTTTTACACAGAGTTCAGTCCACCTGACCTTCGCAATGAGGTAGTTCCTCCTCTGCCTGCACTAACAGAAGAACATTTACCACCCCAAATCCCATACGGTGAAGGAAAAATCAAGTGAATATGAGTGTCTTTTATTTTGGAAGGGGAATTTCATAGTGAGAGGTTATTATTGTTTCATTAGATCACTGATATAAAATTCTGACACTGGACTGGGTACGCAGTACTATGTTGTCTCTGTCCAAAAGGTCTATTGCAAATGTCAATTCTTCTCCCCCCAAACATGCTATGGAGATGTAAGAATCACCAGAAGGACCATGTTTTCAAGGGTATTGTTTTGTGCCCAGACTTTCATCTAGAAAGGGGTGCCTTCTAGTTTGTTTGGAATATCAGCACACCAAAATAATTAATCCTTTGGCTGGAGAATGCCTCAAGGAGGAAAATGGAGGACCTGACAACTGAGAGATATTAATAAAATGCTGCAAATACTGTATTTTCATCCAGTGAAAAATGCAAGATATTCTAAACTAAATACATCATCTCCAGATCCTTTTCACTGAGCTGTCAAATACAGAAAGCAGATCAAACTATGAAATTGGTAACAAAAAAAAAAAAAAAGAAAAAAGAAATCAAGGTTGGTAGTGCCCGACTTTTCCTGCAATGGACTGGAGAACGTAGCAGGGAGCTGCTTTTCAGCAGTGAGCACACTGGACACCTCTCTGATGATACCAGTCCTAGAACTAGCTGGATTGGGTCCCAGAGTGGAAACTTGGCATTTGCCTAAAAGCTGGACACAATGGAAGCTGTTCCTCCTGCCACAGATGAGAAACTGGTCATATCTGTTGGCCCCAGTTCATAAGGGTGGACTAGTAGCTGGAAACCGCTGACAAGGAAACAGGCTGTGCTTGCCCTGAGGAGCAGGAAGATCTTTAAGGGTTTACACACAGCAATGAATGCTCTGTTGTGGTTATTATCTTTTACCGACAGGAATACCCAAGGTGCCGTTTATGCCACCTTTTCCATGAAAGGGAGACAATAAGAGGGAACACGATCTTCCTATGCAGATCATTGCTATTAACGGCAATACATACAGGACAAAATAGAGGACACACTGAGGAAATGTTTCTGTGACAAATGGGCTGATGAAACACTAAACGGATGCTTGAGTGAGGTGCAGGCTGCGGGGCTGGAGCAGAAGTGAGCCGCTGATACCCCGGGAGTGTGCTCAACAAATTACTCTCTTCTTAGTTCACTTCCAGGCGCAGTGTGAGTTACAGGGGTTTAACCTATGAAATCACTTCTGGTGTGGTTTTAGGGAGATACTCTTGCTATATAAGTGATTACGTAGGAAGCCTAAATTTAGACAGAGTAGCTTCAACCCCACTATGGTACCTAGAGCATTTCTCACTTCCCATTGTGGACCTAGTGGCCTTGTCCCAGCTCCACGTCAGTGTGAGACTCAGGCCAGCATCACACAGCCCCTGTGCCGCAGCTGCCGTGGGACATGAGCCAGGGCTCGTGCTCCAGAACAGAGCGAGGAGCGGAGAGCAACCTGGATAGCAGCCTGGTGGCTGGTACACCCCAGTAGCTCACTGTAACACAGCCAAATTTGGGATTTGTGCGTCTGAGAGGTCTCCGCAGGGGAGGGCTAGCCTGGAATGATGACCTTAGCAAACACTGTTGGTTTGTCTTGTTTGGCCTCCAGGAAATGTTTATTTACCCAGGCTTTTCCTGAAGAGATGTGTTGCGTAGGACGTCCTCAGCTGAGGGATGGGGCATTTCAGTTCAATAGGTATTTTACAGCCCACATGTCTGTGATAATATGTGCTTTTAAAAAGGAAGCAGACACCAAAATTGCTCTTCTGTCTAATTAGTTTTACCACAATTGTTGGGGGTAACATGCATGATTGCCATCATAGAAAGAGTTTAAAGTTATCTCTCTTTATTTGGCTCAAATGATCTCTGTTGTGCCTTTCCCATACAGTCAGGGTCACTACCTCCTGTTGTAGCTGATTTGTTTGTTTCCCTTATTTTCTACCTGGGAGTCCCGCAAGAAAGAACAAAACATTCATAAGTTGGGATGTACCTGAATGGAGAAACCCAAATCCTAATCCACTGGGGCATCGGTACCCCCAGAGCTGTGTGAATGCACCTTTCAGTGCAGGACCCGTCCCTTACAGGGGTCGGGCTCATCTGGTGCTCCTGGCCCCTGCCTGTCGGGAGGCTGCTCTCAGTAGCTTCAGTGCTCCCTGGTTAGGGGCATCACTGTCTCTGTTTCGGCAAGCTTTTGCAGATGAAGATTTTTGCCTGAACCCCAACAAGTTTAATGCCAAAGAGGACCTTAGCTGGTGAACGAAGAGCGGAGAAGGGCAGCATCCATTCCTGTGGGGAGGCAGCGTGCGGGAAAGGCTATGTTCCCACCTGCTGCGGGGTCAGTGAACCATTTTCACAAAGATCCACTTCTTCACGTGTTAGGAGTCCTTCCTACATCTAAAATACCCTTATAAAGCAATACATAAAAGCAATAACGCTGGTTTTGTTTGCTAAAGCCACTTACTGTACCTGATACAACCCTGTAAAACTTAAAGCACTTAGTAGCATATCTTGGTGGCAGGTGGTTGTATCCCCAGTGGAGGTAAGAGGGCATCTCCCAGCTCCTCGGAAAGCTCCTCTACCCAGGAGGCTGGTGCTGTACAAGCTGTGCTCTTGGCTGGGCAAAGGTGCAGCCAGCGCAGCGCTGGCCACCGCACGTGCCCGGCAGAGCCAGCCCCTGCTGCGGCGAGAGGCAGCAGGTTTGGGCAGCAGCTGCGCCCAGTGGCGGGAGAGGGGCTGTGATGGCAGAGCTGCTGCAGCAAGAAGGGATCAGCCAGCCCTGCAGAAACCCAGCCAAACCTGTGGGATGCACTTAGTCCACCTGCAATTTTTCATAGTGACCCCCTTTTCCACTGGTCACTCCCTATGCACCACTGACACAAGATTTCTTATTAAAAAAAAAAAAAATCCCATTGGCATGCTGTTTGAAGCAGGCTATAGCTTTCTAGTATCTCTGCCCCAATACAATGATTCTTTCTGCTTTCCAAAACCAGGTCGCGTTCATAGTGCAGGCGTGCGAGAGCGTGAGCAGGCTGGCAGCAGCACACAATGGCCAACGAGGCATGACAAGCTCCTACCGTCGACCATGGGTTTGGGCTGCGAGCTCTTCAGCCGCAGTGAGGGCCTGAAGCGGGTTCGGTCGTTGAAGCTCCAGCTCTTCTGGACTTTGGTCGGGCTGCCCTCGGTGGCAATGTCGGCACTTGGTGACCGGCGATCTCCAACTGAAGACTGCCTGTTCTTTATACTTTGTCCTCGTGGGCTGGCCATCCGGACCCGCTCCTTAAAACTTAGCTTTTGACTGTGAAGAAGAGAAATGTATTTTACTTCATGGTTCCTCCTCTCCTTTTTTTTTCTATCGCATGATATTAGGAAATAATTTCTAGAAATTCTCAATGGTATGAATCTGTTTCTTACACACTTTTATTTTCATTGAATATATTTCATTTGGGAATGAAACTGATTTGATGTAATTGTTTTTTGATAGAGGCATTATCAGTGCCAGTCTATTTTACATTACAGAATAACATTGTAAAGGAAATTAAAATTAACAAAGAGAAACAAATTTCACCCAATTGTTACAGATTAATCTCTAAGATTTTTTTTTTAATTCTTTGACTTTTAAATAAGTTTATTTTCATCTTAGTCAGCCCAGCTCAGTGCATTTCTGGCCGTCTCTTCAGACAAACAAGAACAAAATGTATTCTATTATTACTGCATGCCATGTAGTGTGGTTTTTTTTTTTTTAAGCAGGCAAAAATACTGTTAGTATATTCATGCTTTTTCAAAACGTGGCACTTCCAACATTTCATATGCATTGTCAGTGATCACTCATATCCAGAATTCCTTGTTACAGCACTTGCTTGGACAAGACGAAACCAAAATTAACAAAACATCCAAGAAACAGCGTGATGACCGATTAATGGAAATGTAATGATACACTGTGTGCTCACTAAAGTCATCTCTGGAGATTAAGCTGGGAGCTGACTGCCTGCAGGTAGTATTGGACAGGCGCTTTAGGACAGGTACAAGAGCCCAGCCAAGCTCATGACTGTGACTGCTGGATCAATGGTGGCCCCGTGGTCTTATAGTTGGCCAATTGTAAGCTGGTTTTTTTCTCTCCTCGGCTTATAACCCTCTCCTCCAGTCAGCTAAATGTGGGGCATGTAGATTTTCTACTTCCCAGTGCTTAAATTACCTTTGTTCATGTTCAAACATATCTGATGAACATCCCTGTGGTCACCGTGACTATCTGCCTATGCTTTTTCATTATTTAACATTTTTGCCTTTGTTTGTCTCTTCCTGTAGCAGAAGGCACAAAGGGGAAACAGAAAGGAAGTCTGATACCAAGGTTTGGAAGCCTTGTTTTGTCTACAAGGTTAAGTTCAATTGCCTGTACAAGGGAATGGTCATCTTGATCAGCGGTCCTGTTCTTGCAAGGGGAGAGATGATGGGAGCAATGCAGTAGCTGCTCATGGTATGATGTTTCTGGGTCTTGCAGTCTTACTGCCCTGGCAGAGGCTTTGGGGGTGCTTTTAAAACACCTATGGCAAAGACTGTCTACCTGCAAATTATAATTGTAGTTGAAGTTAAGAGACTTTCTAATACTCTCAAAGTCTTTGCACTTAATTTCAGCATACCTGTTAAGGTGTTTTCAACAGAAATGAATTCTGCAGCTAGTTAACTAATGCTAACGTGGACTGTGTGGTTCTTAGATGTTTAACCTACTGCACTCTGAAAATACAGTGTTAATATGTAATTACATGAAATGGAATGTAGTTATAAACTTCTGTGGCTGTGAAATGTTGAGATAATCAGGTATCTTTGTCCATGCATAGCATAGCATAGCATAGCATAGCATAGCATAGCATAGCATAGCATAGCATAGCATAGCATAGCATAGCATTTCATTCTGAATACAAATATCACTGAGAGCAGAAAGGATGCAGCTTGTAGCAGGCAAAGCACATGCTGGGAAGCTTATAATGAGGTAATTTTCAAGAATGCTAACAAATGAGCACATCAATAAAAAGATTATTAGATAAATGTATTTCTATATGGCATGTTGAATCACTTGAAAGAATACCTTTACTATAATTTCTGAATGTAATCACCTTCTTCCCTTGCCCAAAGTAAGCAATTGTTGAAATAAACACATGATAGTGCTGGAAATGTTATCTATTTCCATTGCAAATTGTTACCCACACCTGCAGTACTGTGTGCTGTTGCACGTGCAATACAAAAGCCCCACAGAACCTACTATTTGAAAGAAAAGTGAGTTCTAAAATTTAATTTTCAATAAAAATTACATTTCAAGACTGAATTACATTTCAGCTCAGGAATCTTTTGCATTGTACACCTTAATGAAAATATAAGCTTTAAAATATTTATTAACCACATTATTGCATTGTCATACTATACAGCATGAGCAACAGAATCAAAATGGACTTCTTATTATAGATATTATTCCTAGGCATGTGTCCCCTGTGCTTTTTTTAACTCCTCTTACTCAAATTGTATTTGCTATTGCAGCATGAAATCAAATTTTATTTTTGTTGACAAATCTTAGAATAAAAAAGTTTCTCTTCCTGTTGCACTAATTAAAATGAAAGGAAAATTGTTAAAATAGCCATAAAAATTGTCAGTGCGGACCATATTTTTTATAATCCCATTAACTCCAAAACAAAAATTAAATAAAAAAAATGAAAAAAGCACACGTGTTGTTCCGTCAATTAATTTGTACTAATGAAAGCAATGGCTGCCTTTAAATGATTTGTACACATGATTATTTCATTTATAAAAGCTGAATGGTACACAATGGCTACTTAACCTGAATATCTTTAGTTCTCCAAATCAAAGCAATGAGGCAATGGTGAAAGGAACAGCAGACACTTCATCTGTACTAGAGACATTTTTCAAAAGTGCAACACTGAGAATGAAAATATTAATTTAAAATGCAGACCTCATACTTAAAAGAAAAAATAATCTGCTTTGTAGCAATGGCAACGTAATGGCATGCCAAGGGTCCATGCGGCAGATGCTGCATCATGAAGAGAAACGCAGCCCCTGAGGGAAGTGTGGTTTGGAAACTCCATTTTGCATCTTAAGAGTTTCTCCAAAGACACTGGTTATAGCAGTTCTTCACTTCTTGGATCCCTGTTCCTATTTTGAGGCTGGTGGGAAATGTTCCTGAAGTCACTGGGTCCTACTCAGCGTAGGCATAAATTGTATGATTTGCAGCAGTGGAGAATTCATGCTTGGGAGAAGAAAGCTGCTGTCCTTGGGAGCACCATGCCATGGGGCTCTTCTAGATATCATAAATAACAGATCATGAAGGAATAACTGAATCAGAGCATTTTGGGGGCATCCTGACTAGGCTTTTTCCCCCAGTGAAAGTCCCTTTCCTTATAGGTTATATAGTTCCTGGCTCTTGATTCTCTGTTGCAATAGTAGTGGAGAAAATATTAGAGATACAAAGTGGAGATAATCTTATGCTCTTTCAAGCATCCCTGGGCATTCTGCACTTGAATTAGTGGCCACTGAAGCCTTTAGGGCCCTTTACTCTGATTTAATGGTGGTTGGATTAGCACTGCCCAGTGCCGTGCTAAAAAACCTTCACCACTTGCAGGACCTAGCCTATTACATTTTTCTCTCTCCCCCTTTCTCCTTTCTTTTTACAAGATATCCAAAGGAAATCCCTTGAGTTAATGTAAACCTGTTAATGGCCACTGGAAATTCACATGTCCCTGTAAGTACTCCCAAACTTTGACTGTTGGTCCAAATGGCAAAAAACGTGAGAAAGAATCAGGAAAGTGCAATCGCACAAGTTCCTGGATCAGACCTAAATGACGTGGATCTGAGAGAACCACAGCTGCCTCCAGTCATCTCTGCATTCCTTTAGATGTGTGTCTGTCCATCATTGCTTGTACCTTCCGTGACTGATAGTTTATCCCAGTTGGTTTATATACATATTTGCTTCCTATTACAATCTTCCCTGGCACTGGTAATCTCTTTGGACCTATTGCTCCTCGATTCTTGCAGGTTGCAAATTGTGGAATGTATTTATATCGGTAACACTGAAGTTCCTATCGATAACACTGAAGCTTTGAAGCATCTTTTAGTGGAGATCAATTACAACTGGCACCTGTGGGAAAAAAGCAAGTGATTTTTCTCTATTTGTTTGCCTTCTGGAAGGTCAGTTGTAGGATCTTACTGCTTATTCTTCCCGTCAATACGTGCATGAGCCATTCACTTCCCTGGGATAGCAAAGGACTTTCTAGTTCTTACTTCTTTTTTAAATTCTGTCTTTTCCACCTTTGATTTATGAAGGAATAGGTGTTTAGAGACACTAGAGGTCACTGTAGCTTCACTGCAGGGGGAATGAACACTTCTCTGCTGGACCAAATGACTAGAAAAGATTTTGGTTTAATTGATAAATGTCTATAAACCTTTGCTTTTCTCTCCCGTACTCACGGCTCTGTCTGTCTTCCGTGGACCATCTTACTATACTTTTCGGTTAACTGAGCATCTCTTTGCATCCCAGTCCCACTCCCCTATTTCCCTGCCTACTTTCCTGCTTTTCTGGTCAAGTTAATCTTCTGCCCTGCTTCAGCCTCAGACCTGCAGCACTACTGCTTGCTACTAGTCACAATTTACAATTTGTTTTTCAGCTTTTCATACTGAGCCGGCTGGTGGAAGTGGGAATAGGAAGAAATTGAAATGAATCAGCAGTAACTGGAGGGCCTGAGGGTGAGGGAGAATGCTTTGGATCTCGAGCCGAGGCAGAAGCTAAAACTGACAAAAATTATCACCCATGACAAACAACGGCAAGCAAATGTACGTGCCAATTTTCAGCAGTTAACTTCCAATAAATACAGATGTTGATTCTTACCAAGCCTACAGATGACTTTACTGAAATTAAGCTAAGTTGAACAAATGCAAATGCAATGGATAGCACAGTGAGGCCTGAAGTTCAAATGTTCAAGACTTCTCCACCAGTCTCATGCTAGGAGCATGAACCCAAGAAATGTAGTTATATCTCATACCTTCAATGAGTAATAACAAGAATTTCAGGGACATAATGTCTTGAAGTTCAATCGCCAAACAGAAAAAATAAATGAAGTTCAGGGGTTTTGTGTATTTTTTCTTTTTTCAAAACAGTTTCCAGATGAAGAGAAACTATTTTTTATCTCCATTTTCTATCATCAGTTTGTACTTCGATTGTCTTTTAAATTATTTTTAAAAAGTAAGAAAAAAAATGTAATAAGCCTTAGTTATAAATCAAAGATTTCTTCCCATAAGATCCATCCATCTAAAAGTTACCATTTTTGGTAAGAGACACAATTTCCACAGAATTCAGCTGAAGCAGATGGTTGATTTCACATGCATTCCTCTACCTTCCAGTACAGGGCGCAGGCACAGCTTCCATGGGCTGTGTCCAAGGGGATTCTTCTCAACAGCAATTGCACATTTTGACTGTTGGTATTGCCTAGTATGTTATAGCTTAATATTACCCACTAATTATTAGATGGAGAATTCAACTGCCAGGGTTATAAAAATCCTCTTGGACTTGGAGAAATGTTTTTACCCAAATATTCAACCCTAGTTTTAGATCTCCGCAGGGTAATGCATTCCAAAAGTTCAAGTCTCAGGCAGAGAAAGGGAACCAGGCTTCGGCAAACCGCGGTGTGCTGCACACTGCAATAGTCCGTCCAGATGAGTTTCAAAGAACTGGTATTATTGCCATTGTATTAATGTCATTGCAGGCAACAAGCAACAAGGGAATTACAAGCACTTAAAAACAAATAAATTAAGAAACGTCCTTTGGAGAAGTAAGGAATTTTAAAGCACTAAGGAGAGGAAGTAAATGAATCATGCACCTGATGTTAGTTGGCATTCTCAAACATCATGTGAATAGGCAGGATGCTGAATACCTATGTTTCCGAGGGGTGTACATCCTGAAGAGCTTCTGTTTATTACTACAAAGCTTACTAGGAGTGAGGGGAGATAGAGGACCATGTTACTAAGCATTCCACTGCTAGGTAAGGGGTTAGGCTTTCCACCTCAAGTTAGATTCTGCATTACTGGCAATTTCTTTTTCATATGGTGCATGCAGAGAGTTTACATTAAATCTATTTTTAGAAACAGATATGATACAGGAGGTGGAGAGAATTCCAGAGTACAATGTACTTGTTTCCCTCAGAGCAGGGATGAGTTTTTCCCCCAAGCTCCTATACTGGCAAAACTTCTCCTTATTGCACCAGAGATAATTGTCTGAATAGGGAATTCATATTCAGGCTCACTAGTTACAACACTAGATGGGTGACATTCATTCTTTGCAGACACCCAATGCATGTCATACACGCAGCTTAAGACTGCTTATACTCTCAGGATGTTGTAAGATTCATCAGTTTTGATCTAGTTTCCTGCATGGGAAGAATTTCAGCCACATTGTATAATTGGACAGAAAGAAATATTATTTGCATTCAGTGTGTGCATTTGTAGATATGGAGAATTTAACATATAGGCTTTTTAAATGACTTGCAGAACTCTAGAACTGATTTATAGAAATATCTCATTTACAGCATGGATATACCAGAGAGGTTGTCTACCATTACTTTTGATAAATGATTAATTAGAATACTTGTGTATAGTATTTTGAGAAATACAACATACATATTTTTCTTAAAATCAGTATGACGCTACAGCCTCATAAGCACAGTTGTCTCAACCCAAATGCACAGCAACATTTAGTTACCTAACGAACGACTGTAGGTCTATACACGACAAAATGCAAGAATTCATTTCTGTAAATATAAAAGTCATTTTGGTAGGAAAGAAAATAATTAACTTTTACCTAAAGTAATACAAGATTTTCTCCACTGTTATTAGAATGGAGTACAGAGCAAAGAGCATATTCAGAAAGCAATCCAATGCACTACTTGTGCAAACGCATCTTCATTTAAAGAGTGAAACAAGAAGCAGCTTACTTAGTTCATATGGCATCCCATGCAAGTCACTCAGCATTGCAATAAGAAAGAAGTTAAACAGTCGAGGACAGTTATCTAGAAGTACTTTGCAGCATTTTGCATTTACATTTTTACCACAAAAGACCACATACACCACGTGTATTTTAAGTGATACAAACATACAGCAATATATCAGCATGAGAACGATAAACAGCCACCAACAAAACACACCTTTTTTAAAAGGCACTGAGTGGTCTGTAGGGTTTTTACTGTAGACTAGGATCTCAGGAGTTGACTAGTTCATTTTTATACCTACACTAATTTGCAGCAGTGCACACATTAGTTAAGAGTTTCAGAACTCTTGGACAAACATCTTCCATCCAGTGAAAATAAAGTGAAAAAATCTGGCTAAATCATTGACTACTTTTAAAACCACAACAGTTATCACTAACGTGGAGCACGTAATATAATTTTGACAGCTGGGGTTTTTTTTTTGCCTCTAGTTTCTACTTATTGTAAGTAAATTTGTCTCTTTAAGTGCTTGCACGTACAACTGGGAATAACCTCTCCCCTCTGCACAAATCACTGTTTGGAGGTACGTACTCATTTACTGCCAACTTCAGTCCAACCTTTAAAAAAGCTGAAGTCAATTTTATATGTTGCTGTTGAAGGATTAGGAAATATGGCTGGTGAGTGCAAAAAGTTTTGATCAGGCTGTAATAATTTAATGAGATTGATACGTTGCTAGCAAGCCTACGGAGGTGACGCATATGAAAATCACAGAACTGACAGAGCAGGTGAAGTGCTCTTGAGGGACTCCTAAGAGCAAATCCAGTCCCCTTGAGTTACTGTGACACTAACAGCAGTTACGTGCACATCGGGGAAAAGGATGGAGTCCGGCACCGGAGGAGCAATCTGGAAAGTGGAACAGGACACGGGTAATCGATGTGAAGATATTACACCCCTGTTTTTGTGTGAGGTGCTGCAGTGCTCCAGACTCCTCACAGGTGATTGAATAACCCAGAAGAGTTTGTGAACCACAATACAACTCGAGGGCAGATGTATTTCAGGGGCTGACGTGTCACCGACACTTTTTTTCTTGGCTTTTCATCGTTTTCTGCTCAGAGGTAAGCTCCATTATTCTGTGATCGTGCTGATACTGCAATACCCACTGCCGAACGCCTGCTGACTCCCATCCCTAATGGGTTTCGGAGGTAGTGTAATTTCTCTTGTAGCCACCGAGTCCTTTCCTGTCCCTAAGGATTCGAGCTATAAGGATGGCAAAGAGCAGCATTTCCTCCTACTTCCTCAGGACGTGCATCTCCAGGGCTTTATTTACCCAGCGAGGATAGCCCTGCCAAGGCCTGCCTCTGCCTGCTGTAGGGCAGCTGGTCCTCAGCCGGCATCCAGGCTGGGTAGAGACCCCACCTGCCCTCCTGGCTGGTGGCGGTGGTGCTTATTTAAGGAGAGATGCCAGGCTGCCTCCTCCGCCCGAACAGGGCCATGTGAGAGTGCAAACCGTGCAGCCAGGTGGAAGTGAGCCACTGCAGTGGTGCTTTCCCCCCACCTGCCGTGTCCCAGACCACTCCTTAGGAGGGGACGGCAGGAAAAGGTTAGGAAACATGGAGACATGGTGCTGAGGAAGCCTTGAGGATGCTCCTGCAGGGCAGCACGGACCCTTGCCAAGGTGACATCCAACCAGCCCTGTCGGGGGGTCCTCGCCCTGCGACAGAGGGCTGGCGGGCTTGTTCACAAAGCCAAATTCAACTATATGCCTGCAACTTCCACTGCGATTCCTGGAAACCGTGAGCATCGATTTTATGGCAGAAGCTGGGGGCTGCGTCCTTGCCCAGGAGCTGGGTCTGGGGAGGCTGCTCCACTTGCTACTCTGACACTGTTCAAACTGTGCCCCCCCTCAAACTTAAAACATACGGTTACAGAAGTAAAAAATTGCCTAGTTTTTCCATACAAAAACTGGGACAAAGAAGCAAATTTCAGCCGCATTAGTCTATCGATACGAATTTTAAAAAATGCAATTTGTGATTATTATCAGTTAACAGTTACAGTTCATTGAGCCTACTGTACAGAACCTGAGACATCTAAAAGCCATTAAGAAGCATAATTTTCAAGGATAAAATAAATAAAAGAAACTACAAACCTGCTAGAAGCTTCCCCTTGTTCTTTTCTTCAGGTCAGGGAGTGGGAGGGAAAAACATACTTGTTATGCAGATAGTAATCACATTACTTAGTTACAGATGATGTTAGATATGATAAACGTAAATGGATATGTTAATTAGTGTACAACACACACGTTACATTGCAACCACAAAAACATTCAAGCAAGACTCATAACTACAATGCTTCTGAAAAAGAAACTTTTCAGTTGTTTTAACACATGCATAACATGCTTAGTACATACCACTGCAGACTGAGTTGGCAAAGCACTTAGGCAAAATGCATTGCTGACACATTTATAACAGAAAGCTGTAGGCTCTTATTAGATAAAGTTATCTCTGGTAAATAAAAAGGTTTAATTTTAGGATAGCACAGCAATATGCTTATTTAAAATAACAAGTAGATGCACTTTTGAGGGACAGTCATATTTTAGAATATTTTAGGTGGGATACAGCTTCATTGTTTATGTAATTTTATATCCATCCATTTCTACCAATGTTGCCTTCAACCTGTTTGTGTACGTCAAAAATCAATATTCTATGTAACTTTTCATCTAAAAGCTCCTTTTAGTTTGGAGCGTTTTGGAATTACAGTTATGGTAATGGATTACTTATGGCTGTGTTCTTGTCAACTCTTTGAAATTCAAAGATCAGCTTTGGGTACCCAGCCAAACCTCTTTTTGGCTGAGCTTTTTGGCACACGATTACCTTTTTACTGTCATGTGGATGTTCATCACCCAGCTTTGAGAGAAACCACTAATTCTCTTGCACTGTCTGCAATAACAACAGTTAGGATGCTTATCAGAGCTTTCCCATAAGGCTTTTAGCGCTCTCCTTTTTGATCTTTATCGAGTATCCTTTACTTCCTGATTTGTGCCCCGTATTGAATCAGTCAACTTACTACCTTCTGGTAAATCTTTTACTTAATTATTGAAGAGTCTTGGGCTGCCAGTGCTCTGTGAATTCTCACCCAAACTAGGACATCAAATATTTCCTGTCTGCCAAACTGTGACATTGTGTCTTTTTAGTCGTCTTCCACTGACTGTGTGTATAACTGAGGATATAATTTGCCCTAAGGAAATACTGAATGTACCAGAAGTTATGACGAAAAGGAGCAAATTCCCCAGTGCATTCACCTGCAGAACACCACAAGGCTCTCTTCCCTCACAAAGGTTGATCTGTAGCTATAGCCTTATAGAGAGGCACAGGCATAAAAATACCATTAAATCAAGGAACAAGCTCTGCATTAAACTTAATATTTTCCTCTTTAGAGATAATTTGGAACTGGGTGAAACATTAACCTTGATATATGAGTGGGGTTTAGGGAAAATGTTTCTAATGCCTGTGCTCAGATAAATGGCAATGATTTGTATTTGTCCCACTGTCCTAGGCTCCTAGATAATACTGATATGATTTGTTAGTTGAAGTTTTTAATGAGAGGACTTAAGAAGACAAAACAAGACGAAACAGACAAATAGTAATTCTCTATAAGCTTGAACAGACATTGAGAACAGCACCAGCTGGCATATTTGTACCTACTTTGTAGGGCTGCAGGTATGCAAGGCCTTCAAATGAGGCTTCCAGGTAGCAATGGAAACCGATTTCTCATCAGCCGCATAACTACGCCATACACACTACGTGCAGGATATATGGTAAAAAAGAAAAAACAAGGCAAGAGGGAGCAGGGGATGAAACAAAAAATTGAAAAGCAGATTAGTAACCAATACAAGTCATGGCTTTCTTTTATCATTCATAGCACTGATACATGCCTGAGGGGAGGAAGAATACTTTCATAATATCGCCAGGTGGCTGTCAGGTTTGTTCGGCTGGCGTCGGTAGAATAAAACCGCCAAGAAGCCTGGTATGGGGAAACAATAGAAAAGCACAAAGGAACCAAGAACATGAAGTGACAATGCCACCGCACTGATAATGGAGAGAGGGGATTTTGCTCAGATTGGGGTGTACTCTATTAGGTTGATTAAGGACATACCAGTAAAAACCTACCAAAGCTTTTGTGAATCACAGTACACTTTACACGGTAAAGTAAGAGTTAATGGCTTTGTGGACACACCAGAAGATATTCAACACATAAAGGTGCTCAAAAAAAGCATCACAGTGATTTATTTGTGACAAGTCCATAGGGGACACCCACACAAACTTGCAGTCTGAGGTAAAGAAAGTGTCATAATACATTTTGTAAATGATAATGAAAACCAGACAAAAAGCATTTAGAAGAAAAGTGAAGTATTCTCTGTGATTTGAAACACTGCTAAATGTTTAAAAGCACAAAATAAATCATTTCAAAGGTGAGTGACCGAAGCATAACATTGAAAATGTATTCACCGTTTAGATTTATAACTGCATGTAGATAGTAAAACAGATCCTCAGTTCTACAAACTGGAACAGCTTCCCTGATGTCAGCATAACTATATTAATTTGTACTAGCTGAGTATCTGCGCTTCCTGTGTATTGTCAACCATTAAATGTCATCCAGGTATTTTTGTACAGAGTCTAATACCCTGTGTTTTCCTACTGCATATCTCCCAGAAATACATCTAGTCTTCATCTACAGACGGAGAACCTGCCACTTACTTTGTAAATTGTTCCACCGGTTGATCATTCTCATTGTCAAAAATCTCTGCATTATTTTTAATTTGAAACTCTTTGGTTTTGGCTTATAGCCAGAGATATTTGTTATGTTTCTGTCTGTAGGTCCTGTAGGTTCCAGTACTTCTTCTCTGGACTTTTGTGTTCAAATAATATTCACACTGAATATTTCTTACAAGCTAAACGTACTGAGAAAAGTATGTCCCTATGAAACACTCCAGTTTTCTATAGTGATAACTTAGCTGTCTTTAAGTCAGGTAAAGGCTGTAGCAGACAGCGTATCTAGGGCAACAAAGGAGTTAGCACAGACTAATTCTACAGAGTAACTGATTAGAAAATAGACATTATCCTGATAAACTAAAGCACACTGATTTCCATGGTAGTTCATTATCAATATCCACAAGAAACAATTTAAAAAAGCCCAGGCACTGTTACAGTAGACAACGATATGAAGTTCAGACACATCCTGCATTTATGAATATGAAATTTTCTCCAGTCCTGGACTAATTTTTTCCAACGTTTTCTTTGCTTTCTCCAATTTTCCAGTCTCATTTACAAACTGTAGATGCTGAGTTGATGTGTAGCATTTTAGTACCAGCATCACCATATACACTGACAATATCAGCCTTCTCCTACTTGTTACCTGTCTGGTTCTGTACCTAAGGACTGTAATAAACCAGCTGGAGTAACATACTGGGAACTTGTATGAAGCTCTTGGCCCTTCTTCCTCACTCTTTCTCCTCTGTGTTTCTCATCCTTGGTCAAATCCTTTCCAGAGTCCTTATCCATATTAGGATAGAATCCTCTTGTAATAGTCTGAATTCATTGATTCTAGATCAAGTTTTGTATTTGGTATATTAAGCCATTTGGATAAAGTCACCCAGATCATCCTCGGGTTCATTCCCATGTGCCTGCCCTCATCTTTACCATTCTGCGAGGCCTTGTGCCATTGGCAAATATCTCCATCAGCAACTTTATATTAATTTCCAGATCACTGAAAATGCTGAACATGAAAATGAACATGTAAATGCTGAACAACGTTCATCACTGGCATCCCACCACAAATGTCCTCCTTTCACAATGTTTTTGCCCATTGAGAATCACTTACTGAAATCAGTCCGCTAGCTACTCTTAATCTATTTAGCATGCTGTCTGACTAATATTTTGGTTGGGCTGTCATACAATAATAAGAGATACATCCAAAACCTAAATCTATTGTGTGTTTCCTCTGGCAACCAAACTTGGAAGAAGTAGATTAGAATGTATGTGTTTGTTAGAAAATACCCCAGACACTCATTCTACAGTACAATAGATACAAAAGGAGTGGACTTATATTTATTAATTATTCTATTAAATAGTACATCTCAAATACTCAGTATTTCATAATCATTGAACAGTAATAATGGAAAACTTTTATTAACTTTAAGAATGCTTCAAAGACAGCCTGGCATCTATCCTGAACTTATCGTGGAACTCTAGTATATTCATGCTCAGCTTCTTTATTTGGATTTATTATTTCGGAATTAAAAAAACAGCGTAAGTGGCACACATAAAACACTCGGGATCCCAAGAAAATAAACTAGGATGCTAGAAGATTATTTCCCCTCTTTTATTTTTCAGTGCGTCGAGTAAAGCTTGGTGCAAATTCATTCTTTAGAGGATTTTCTTGTTTTTAACTAGGACTGTAAGTTAAGGAAAAAAACCACGCAAAACAGTTGTTTAACAAATATCATGCCATTTTTGTTTAAAAAAAATCTTTCTAAATTGTTGATCTGCACCATCATGTCAATATTGGAGCTGAAACCACTTCAGACAATTTCAGACCTTTTGGAATCGCTAGTGCCTACATTTCCAGTTTTTGAATTGACTAATAGTGAAAGCAATTCTCTGGACAGGGCACTTTTCATTTTCACCAAGTATATCACTCATTGGAGCACTCTAAACCCTGTAGTAGATGAAAAGTAGCTTAATATAGGCAAGAGTGCTGTGCTGTCAGTTGGGTTGTCTAGGGATCAATCCTATTTTTCCAAGTAATTCGATAACCGCAGGTATGCAATTGACATCCTTGACTTGGTTTCTTCAGCATGGATAGAAGAACTCAAAAACTGTGCATAGAAATGCTATATACACAATTATGGCAACACACTGCAATCACTGAACAAGCTTATTTCATGAAACTAACCAATCTGTTAAACATTATTTCCACAAAACTTTCCGAATTGAAATAATAAAACTTGCTCCAATATGTACTTTAAATCACCTACTGTTATCTTTTCACTGATTTCATATTTACCTGAATTAGACTGGCAGCTGGATTCCTTCTTTTCTCAAAGTGTTTCTGACGATGTTGTTCCTGCACTTTTAACGCAAATCCTGAGCCAAGGATGCCCTGCAATACAATACGCCATTTATCATTAGGTAGGTAGTTTTTTCAACAAATATACACAATGGGCTACAAAGGTTTTGTGAAGATGTTACACCATAAGATTGCTTCAGATAACACATTTATGACAGTATATGACAGTATAAGGCTTAACAACAGTGCCCGTTCGTGGTGAGGCAGGAGACTCCTTACTTAAGAAATAACATCTGTGGTGCTACCAGTGACCACTCATTCCAACTATTGCTTGAGTTTGTGCTACGCTATGTTCCTGCAACGCTAAGGGCCATGGATATATATCTATATATAAAACATCAGGTGGGAACATTCAGAGGAATTTAAGCCAGTAATGATGAAATGACCAGTTGCCAGATTTGCCAGATATATATGGACTTCAAAGTCAGTATCTGCAGTACTTATCATAACTTTTGATTTTAGAAAAGTTAGAAAATGCCCTGCTTAACAGATTAAGACCATTTC